CCTCCTCCCCGGCCTGAGGAGGGACGGAGGGCGGGAAAGGGAGTGCGGCCGCGATCCTCCGGCGGAGGGGGAAGAGAAAGCGAGGGGGGGCGGTAGCCCCTCTCGCCGCGGCTAGAGGAGGGGGAGGGAGTCTGCTTCCCCCTCAGGGACGAGAGGACCTTCGCCTCAGGGCGGAGTAGCGGTTGCCGGGCGGGCGGGCACCCCGTCCCGCCAGGACCCTTCTGTGAGGGAAGGGCTGCCACGGCGCAGGCGGGGTCAGCCCCTCACAGGGCGCTGGCAGTACGCTTCTAAGGGAGCTCGGCGTTGCTGTCGCGAACAACCCGAGTGTCTTAAATCTGTGGCGTGATGTTTAGCCGGTTCGAAAAAAAAGGAAGCTTTAAAGAATACCTGCTTAAAAAAAAAAAAAATTTTTAGAAGCTGACTGGGGTATTCGACCGAGGTTGTTGTGTGGGCTTCTCCATATTGGCAGAAACCCCTCTTTCCCGGTAGGGTTGTACGTACCCCGGGGTTCGTTTGGCTTACAACCCCAGATGGGATCCGCACCGGGGGCTGCCTGACCTTATGCCTCATCTTTTTCATTTTGCCTCAGTCCTAGCCTTGCGCCTCATCTTTTTCATTTTGCCTCAGGCCTGGTTTTACCTTCTGGAGGGAAGACTGGGACGAAGCGGCGGGCGCCTGGGGCAGAGGATGGCCTCGCACGCTTCGAGTCAACTCCGCGCCGCGTTTACGGGGTCTGCCGCCTCGTCTGTGGGGACGGAGGACGCGCTGGTCTCTTCGCTCTTCGGGGCAGGAGCAGGCACGTGAAATCAGTTTACGGGTGAAATACGGAGAAAGAAGGGTCTCGCTGTCCCACGGGGACAGCTGCATTCCCACAGGCTGAGCGTCTACCCGAGGGGATGTGCTGTACTCTACGGCCGTGGTTCATGGCTGACTATCCTTTCGTCCTTCGTGGAGAGGGCTGTGGGACAAGAGCTGTAGCACTGTGAGAAACGGGGGATTTATCACAGAAATTGTATGTCTTCGGCAAGGAAGCATGACCTCTAGATCATAGTGTTCGCATGAAGCTACTGCTTCCTCCCCAAATGATTACTGGTTTGGGAGTAATTGTCAGCACTGGGACAAAAGGGGATTTCTGTCCACACACGGTCTGTCCTTCTGTTCCCGTTATTCTCAGGACTAACATCATAATTCAGTTTTGCCTGCAGTTATACGTATCCTCAGAAAAGAGCATCCAGCATAATGATTGCTAAAATCAAGAAGGATTTTAAAACTCAGAAGCTGTCTTGTGGTTTCAGACATTTCACAGCTGATGTTTTGTCCACTTCTTTTTTTCTTTCCCCTCAGCTTGGACAAGAAAAAGGGCTTATGGGCTGTCTCACCCCCTTTCTCATCTCTCTCTCTCGGTTGTGATTCTCATGAACCACCAAAAGTTACACACGCTGAAGTCCTGATTTTGAGTTTTGTATCTAAGCAATTGAAAATTCATATTTTACAAAGAAATGTATTTTTCTATCCGCTTTAGTACCGACAATTTAGCTTCTAGAGAAAACAGTACTGCTGCATATCTGTCTGCTTATCTATGTTGTGCTTTTGTCACCATGTAAAGTCAAGATTAAACAGGATGCTTTGGGCTTGTTCATCATAATTTACTTCATTACCATTTATATTAAGCTTCCAATTTCGTGCAACAAATTTGTACGTTTGCTGCTAATCAATGATCTATATGAGGTGGCATAAGATTGCTAATCGTTGGCTTAATCCTGACATTTGCTAATTAATATATGGCACTTGTCTCATTGCAGAGGCATTAATGCTCAGAGGGAAGTTTTAAATAAATCAAGGAAGCCAAGATTTTGTATCGTGTCTCTGTGACAGCATCAGCTATCTTTCCTCCAATACCAGAAAACAAAAATAAAGGTTGAGTGCAATCCTTGTAGAGATCAGATAACTCTAAGGTTCAACATCAAAACGTCTAGCCACAGACTCTAAGACCCATTAGGAAAAATTAGACGTTGTACTTCGTGATCTTCAACTGGATTTCCAAATACGAGGTGGCCAGTAAAGATACTTCTTTTGCCCAGGGTGCTGGAGGAAAAGCAGAGCGATGCAAACGTGAAAGGAACCTGAGTCAGCCAGAGCTCTGAGTTGCAGCTACCTATACTTTTTCCATATTGTAAACATCCCCAAACCACTACAGACCTTTGAATTTCTGAAGCTGGATTTTATTTGATTTTGAATTAAAACAATACAGGTGGAAATTAAAAACACAGAACTGCTGGATAAAACAGAGTAACACTACATGGTCAGTGCATGCACACGCACCTGTGTGTGTGTAGAGGGAGAGAGAGATACATCTCTAAATTCCATTTTTGAATGGTTTCCCACCTTTCTACGTATTCTTCAGAGACCTTCTGACACGGCAGTCTTTTTCCATCAGCCTGAGCCAGGCCTCTGTATAGTTTGCTCCCTCCTTTTCCAAGCAGTCACCAGTTTCTGCTCCTGCTGCAGAGCCATGCTTTGTCTTCTGAGAAGTCCTTCCTCTGCCCCCGGTCTGCTTTGCAGCCTGCAGCACAGCACACTTTCCTCTCCTCTCCTTCCACAAGGTTGTATTTCTCCAGCGCAGCAGCTAAAACAAGGCAAGCAGGCAACTTTCCTTCTTTCTGTCCCACTGCAGCCTTTTAAATGAACATAGAAGGCTTTTAAAAGACCTTAACGCACAGTAAAATGCAAATCAATAGCCCAGTACTGCCCGTCAGAGGTACTCGGCATGAGGCACCACGGGCATTGCATCTGGAAAGACAATCAGAGGCACGACAAGAACAGCATATGTGGTTGTCTCACCCCATTCCTCATCACAGAAGATAAGGCCTCCTCCGAGAGAGCGAGCGCGTTTTCCTCAGTCATGCTGAACGAAATCAGCGTTCAGGAGCTCCGGGGAATCCTCAGCAGAGTCCAGGCTGGGGTCCTTTTGCCTTCAGAAGTATCACGGACTACTGAGTCCCCTTCCCAAGGTAGGCAACCGAGATGGCCTGTGTAAATCCCTCAGCTTGGGGTTCCCGAGTCCATCTCAAGCCTTTTCCAAAAAAGAAAGCCTGAGCATGATCAAGTAAAGCTCACAGTTTTAAGGTCCCAAGTTCTTTTTATAAAAACATAAGGGAGAAATCCTTCATGCCCACATATTTTTCAGGAACAAAACATAACTTAGGAGTTTTCATTTAGGGCTGGTTTATTCTTCTTAACTCATCCCATTATTGGCATTTCTTAAAAATACATTGTTGAATGAGTTAGGATGGTGTGTCAAGCTTAAATTTGAATTTCATTATTGTTGAAACCTGAATGTTAAAATAACATTGGGTTTTGTCTTTAATTTCCTCTTTTTTATTAAAAATAAAAAATATATGTTTGATGGAAAGTTATTGAAAGCAAATTCTTTAACCCAAGGACCACCCAGACACAACGTAAATGTGTATTTAAGCAGTTTTAAAAAATGATAGTAGGTATCCGACCAATTGGAAGAACTCCAGAGGAATATTAGTTTTTCCAGTATATCATCATGTCAATACAGATCTAGATGAATGATCATGAGATTACAGCGTAAGCATGTGAAGTGGCCACTCCTTTAACTTCTTTATCTCTCTCTTTTGGACAAATTGAACTGCTTTCCACATTTCATTTTTTTGACTTCAAGCCAATTTTAGTTATGGGAGAACAAAAACAATTTTAACTTCCATGATTTACTCACTTAACATTAATAAAGCTGAAAAATAGCAGTCTATTTGGTAATGGTAATCAAAATGGGCTTGCAAACCACTGGAGTTAAAGTATGGTAATGAAAGTGCTGACAGATCCTTTACTGTAGTGATGGGAACAGTATTTCTGCCTTACCCACACTATAATCTGTAAATAACGCTTCGTTCTCTTGGTGAAGTGTGGAGAGTGATTTATTGTCATTGTTAGCGTGGACAGGCAAATAACATAACACACTTCTCAAACTAACGGTGTGTAAGTGAAATCCAGTCTGTCACGAGACCAAAAATAATACCATGGATTTTGGCCTCCTTCATCCAAGGATCTCAAAGCACTTTGCTACCATTCAATGTTGCCTGCTTATTCCCACCCCGCAGATGGGGAAACTGAGGAGGTGGCAGATTGAGGATACGATTCCAATACGATTTTTTTTTAGAGAAGTGGTTTTCTGTTGACTGCAGTGGGAACTGAATTGGGTGTTGTATGACTGGATCACAGAAAACGTCCACAGAAAAGCCCACCTTAACAGAAGACTTTTTCTTTGGCAGCCAAGGACTTGTGATGCCCCTGAAGATTGTTGCTGGTCTGAATCAAGCTTTAATTGCAGAATCACACATTCATATTCAGTTGATTCTTACTGAAAATTGTTCTCCTGTGGTGGCTGGCTAATACTGTATATGAAGTAATACTGTAGTTTGGTGGTGAAGGTCAGTTCAAGGTACACAATTCCAGAATCACCCCATGTCCGAAGATCCTGCACAGATCTGTAAAAACCAAGCCCTGATCCATGGATCGTACCGCCCCAGGAAATAATCTGTTAGATGTTCTGACGGTGGTCCTACAGAAGTTCACCTTCTTCTGTGCAAG